TAATCATCAGTGTCTGCCGTTCCATATTTATGCTTTTAAAATTTTGTTTTTTACCTCATTTACGTGTTTTAAAATTGATTATACAGGTTTTAACGGTAATCGGTCTGAAGGATCTTCTGCGATGCGTATTTTCGCGTTTCTCGCCGCCAGTTTTGACAGGTGGATTCGCGGGTAGTCGGTGGCAGAGAGCCGGCAAGAAATGTTTTGTTTTCGGTGTTGCGTCGATTCTAGGTTATTCCTAAGACTATGCAGTGGCAACGAAGAAGAAAAAGACCTCAATAACTATCGCAGTTCCATTTCTAAGGGCATCAAGTACCCCAAATCCCGAAAAAAGCGATAAAAACGAAGCGACCCACGATCCACGACCGACCGAAAGAAGCGAAGGAAAATTGACAGTTCGGTCTTTTAATATGTAAAGGTATTTAGTTTATTGTTTACAGTATGGATGTAGCTCTATCTTGCCGTACATACCGAGGTGAAGAGAATGTGTCCTGGGGAGTGTTGGGGGCCTTGCCCCCATCAACCCTCCCCTCGGGCAGTGCCCGAAGGGCACGCCTAGTCACGCACCGTAAATTTAGATTAGGATATAGGTTTATGGGTTAGGACGTTTTTTTATGCTTGAAAGGTGCGAAATCCCGTAGATTTTACCGAAAGATGCGTTGTATTCCCGTAGAGTTTTTCGAATTTTGGCGCGCCGGTGCGTAGACTTTGAAAGATGGCGGGCATGTTCGTAGAGTTTCATTAGCCGGTTTTTAGCCATTTTTGGGCTATTTTTTGTGTTTTTGTTCGCTATTCTTCTTATTCAAGCCTGTTTTATCCCACAATTTCCCTGATATACTCCATGCCCTCCCCTACTAACGGGACTAACAAATTTTGTTGGAAAGTGGTACTCAGATCTCATCAACGAAGCATTTGCACAAGAAACAACATCAAAAATCGTTGAAATCAGTAGATTTCATGCAGATAAATATCAAAATTAGTTCGAAAGTAAGCCTCTACCCTGTTATGCATATTGACCTTAAACTGTCCTTTCGTGGAAACTGACTATTCTTTACTTGATAAAAGTATTGAATTGGTTTACCTTTAAGGAGCTCGTTTGGTGATGTTCTTCCCAGCACCAAAACTAAGCAACTGGGCCTTTCTTGGACAACACACTCCGAACGATGCAGTTGCCATATTATCATTTTATAGCAATATACCCCCCATGACAGGCAAGGGTTTCCTATGTTCATGTTTATATATATCTATGTATATATATATGCATGTGTATATATATATGTATATATACATCTTTTTTCAATAAGAATGCATTGCTTTTTCCCTTTGGTTCTCAATCATGAAATTCGTCGTCATCAAATATGCTTTCATGCTGTCGTCATGTTCCTGCATATCAGGATGACAAACAAGTTTTGATTACTTGCAACCTCACATATACTGGTGAGGCGTAGAGTAAACTGAGAGTACATTTTTTTTTTTTTTTTTATTGGATATTACTATGATAAGCTTGTTGAAAGGCGAGATCACGAAATAATGTCCATAAATTATAATCCACACGGAGACCTCCACACCACAATATGCACGTACACGCACTCGCAAACAAGTGTGTATACAACATATATACACATCAAGAGAAAGGTCACCATCTTCCTCTCTCGGCGTGCGGTCCAGACACGCGAATATACCGATTTAAGCATCGTTCCTGCAGACGCTGGGCCGAGATTTCGGGCTCGGATATCCTTGCCATGTCCTCTCGATGCGTTGTCCTGCTGCGACAGGCTTTCTACCATGACACTTCCATACATACATACACACACACACACACACACACACACACACACACACACACACACACACACACACACACACACACACACACACACACACACAAAATATATATATATATATATATATATATATATATATATATATAATATATATATATATATATATATATATACACATACACACACACTGCAGGTCAGTAAAATAATTCGGTGGACTGTACTACCATCTTTATTACGATGTAAAAAATACAGTTGTTCTGAGTGTGTAAAGCTGACATTTTTTCTTTGTTTTTAAGCAACACATTATAGTCCAAAACTGAAAAATAAGGATTTAAGAAATTTATAGAGAAAAAACAAATGTGTATAAATTTTTAATATCACTCCCTCTTCCTCTTGCCTGTGCTCCGGGACCCGAGGACCCGCGAACAGACGGCTCCCACGAGGCGGCGGAGCACGTACACCGCCACGACCACGGCCACGTGGAGCGCCAGCAGCACGTCCAGCATGAGGAACTCGACCCACGACAGCGTCGCCGCCGGAGACCGCAGCCGGGGGGCGCCCTTGTGCCGGATCACGTACTCGGTCCAGAACACCGCGCGATCCTTCGGGCTCTGAGGTTGGTCGCGGAGGGGAGCCCGCACCTCTGCGGCCCTGGCTTTGTACCTGCGGTTGAGGGCTCGCTGTCAGTGAGGCTCTGAGGCCTCAAAGGATGTGCAGAAAGCATGTCTATGTGTGAGAGTCAGATAATTCAGTATTAATGAATAAAAAGCTTCAAAAGTCCTGTACATTCAATAAAAACCCTTACTTGGATTCGAGATAATTTCCTGGAGACTGTTGACGATGAGCTCGACCGTCAACTCCTCCCACACAAGCATCAGCCCGAGGCCGTTGTTCTGTATGTTCATGCCATTCTTGGGCTGATCCCCAAAGATGGGGACTGCGAGGACTGGCGTGGAGTGGTAGAAGGACTCCTGAGTGCTGAGGAGTCCTCCATGCTGATGAAACCGGACGTTGGATGAGCTGAAACACCAATGGTAAAACCGCATGAGCAATCCTCTTCTAGGTTCTTGCAATGTGATTATTAGTTATATATACATCAACCATCACTTTGTTTCCTTTTAGAGTTATAACATAAATTCATTTCGGTACATGTTTTTTCCTTTTTTTTATTTATCATTAATTTTATTATCATTTATTATATTACTATATCAGTTCTAATGTCACTGGTTATCTGAAGTGCAAAAAAGTTTTGCACTTGATGAACCAGCCAAAGGTCAACTCACCGAGAATATCCTGCTGCGGCAAGCATTTCCGCATAGCACGTTGTCAGAAGACGCCCTCCAGCGCCTCCTTCGTACTTCCAGATGACTCGCTGTTTGAGCTGCTTGAAGGCCTCCACGAACATATCTCGGTACTTCGTGGCATCGACTGACCCTGAGCCACGGAGCCAAGACTGAAGTACACGACGCCCTCTGAATCCTGCGCCGCTGATCCAAACTCTAAATCCTGTCTAGGATACGTGTCTACTGACAAACGACCACTTACAAATCCAAATAAATCCAGATGAGCATCAGCTACCATCGATATTCCATTCATTTTCTGTGCTCATCGATAATATCATTTTTTTCTCATCTGGCATAAACTTAGGATTCCCCAGAAAGACGAATCTCACCTTAGGAAGCTTGCCAGGACGCAGTGCAATGGCCCCCCACTTCCACCTGGGACGGCAGCAAGAGGCAGAACATCGTTCATTGTGAAGTGGGAGTTTCATCAAGGTAAGGCTCTGGTTTGCTCAATGTTCCAGCAATGACGGGAGGTCCGGGAACTGGGCCGAGATCTGGGAGAAGATTTTTTTTTTTTCAACAATTTTTTTCACAAAAGTATATTTTCTTGAAAACTTTGAAAGTAATCATATGAGTACCAAAGCACTATAATAGAGTGAAAATGGAGGTGAGACATACCAAATAGATTCTGGTCTTTTAAGATATATTTACCGTTGATGAATATTAGAGGGACTTTTAATATAACGACTTTTCAAGAATCATTCAGCATTATAACATTGACACATTTAAATGTAACATCAACAAACGTCTACTAAATAAATAAGTCTACAACTTAAACAAAAAGTGACATGACCCCTTCTCCTTTTCTGTCAGAATACCCACATCCTTCTTTCTGAACAGGCGAGATGCTCCAGTACTACCAATATACGGCGAGTCCAAACGGGGTGCTAACGGTATTAAGAGAATCGAAGGCTAACACGTCATAGAGAAGAAGTAGTCAAGCTTTCATCGAGTGGGGTTACGTAGGCAGGGTTCAAAGACGTTGCCGAGACAGCGCTCTGCTTCGTTAGTCCACACCGTGGCGTGCTATTATTGATGAAGGGCATCTCGTGGGCGAACGGTACGCGACCTGTTCAAGTGGGTTGTCCTATTATTAACCATCAGTCGGAATGGTTTTCATATAATTTCTGTAACGATGTTCGGATTACTTTAATGCATAAATTTTAATTTTGCAGAGAGTGTCACTAAATATGTACGTAACAGTTTTGACTGCTAATTAGTCATTTATAGTTATGGCACAGATACAGTTGCAATGAATGATATTTTGTAAGTGCCTATGAATGAATATTTTTGGACTGGGTCATATAGTCATTTATTAGTATGCACAGGATTAAGTGATATATGATATATTTTTGACTAGTTATCAATTTCTCATGCAAGGAATTAGTGCTCAAGTCTTCTTTCAATCATATCTAATCTCTTTCGAATGCAGTGTTATCTAAGATAATGAAATATAAAGCTTCGAGTGGTATAATACGATAAGCCAACGATAAAACTTCTTGGTTTGCCTCTATCATTATATAAGAAGTTAAGTGGCAATGACATTTGTAATATTTGCTAAATTGTTACCAATAATTTTATTAATCTACAGTGCAACAATAATATTAACAGCGAGAATATAAATAATGTCATTAAACTTAATAAATAAAATCAAGCCAGACTTACCTCATTAAACATATGGTTAAACAATGAGATCAAACTCCTTTTTTGCGTCGTAGAGTTCTTTGACCTTCGGAACCTTGTACAGCTTGCTGGCTGGGCGGGAAGAGCCGTCTCGAACATCGCGAACGCACCAGCTGGTCCCGCGTGTCTCGAACATGTTCATTTTTCTTCCCTGAAATCGGGCAGTCCATGGTTGATCTCCAGGACTTTGGGTGCTTCGACGCCGGTGGTGGGTTGACCAGCATCACAATCTGGTGTAATTAATCACAAATATAAATGGCTTGAATTAAAGTGAGCCGTTCTAAACACCTCAGCACGTTGAATTTTGATAAACTGGTTATAGCTGATTGTGTTATATATATTGGATTTGATTTATGCATGTTTATGTGGCTTTTCGAAGAACGTAATAATATTATAAACATACACACACACCTGGTTGTACCTAGTTGTTTGTCCTTACCTTGTGTCCTCGATCGGCTAAAGCCTCGGCGACCGGCAAGAAGACATTCCTGTGGCTCTTCGAGGATACTGGCAACAGCATCAGGATCTTGTAGGATCTCTCGGGTGGAGCCAACTCCGCCCACGCCACGCCCATCAGCGCCAGCGTCAGGGCCAGCACCGCCGTCCTCATCTGTGTAAAAATGTTTCTACAACTGTGAGTCTTCAGCTGGTTCTAAAAGAACACATTACCGAAATGAACACGAATTTCTCTTATGGTTTGATGATTAATATCTTGCTTTATTCTTCTCAGAGTATAGCTGGGCGTCGTTCTTGACTTCAGAGTGTGTGTGTGTATGTGTCGGTGTGTTATGAGGTATTGCGGTCAAGTATCTACACAACCTGTCATCTCCAAAGTCTTGATAAGGTTTTGTACCTGATACGTTCATAGATAGTGTGTGAGTATGATTCAGGGATATATGTATGGGTGATTCTGTGTTCTATTGGGGGTTCACTGATAACGTCACCTCAACAGTATGGGATTTAAGGCTTTTCCTTGGATAAAGGTCAAGTGTCCATACCTAAAAAAACAGTTAAAAGAATAGTAGTAAATATACAGTCATAAGAGGGTATCATCCGATCTGATAATATAATAAACTGCCTGTATTTGCAGTGAATACAAAGGTCGAGCTACAACAGTGCATTCACAGGATTTTTTTAAAATATGCATAATCAAAGAATATACATATTTATTTATATATGTGTGTGTGTATGTGTGTGTACTATATATTTATATATATATATATATATATATATATATATATATATATATATATATACATATGGACAATACACAATATCACACACACACACACACACACACACACACACACACACACACACACACCACACAATATATATATATATATACATATATACACACCACATATTATATATATATATATATATATATATATATATATATATATATATGTGTGTGTGTGTGTGTGTGTGTGTGTGTGTGTGTGTGTGTGTGTGTGTGTGTGTGTGTGTGTGTGTGTGTGCGTTGTTGATATATATATATATATATATATATAATATATATTATATATATATATATATATATATATATATATATATATATATGTATATATATCTATATATATATGTATGTATATATATATATATATATATATATATATATATATATATATATATACATATATATAAATGTATATTTTATACACACACATACACACATTACACACACACACACACACACACACACACAGATATATGTGTGTGTGTGTGTGTATTTCTCAATTGTAAGATTATGTTTTGTATCTATACTCAAAGTTACGTGATGAATTATATGAAAGTTAACCAGTTAACCAATCGATAAATTAACACAGTAGCCCTACCTTTTGACAGTTGGATATCCTGATTCACTTATTAACAAATCTGTAACTGTTTCCTGTATGAATCGCGAACTAATGACAGAGCATTGTATGGCAACTGCGTAAGTTGGCTTGTGGTGTTATTGTTGCCATATTTCCCCAGGACGTTTCTTTCACTGTCACATTTGTGCATTCAGCGTGCGTACTTTTTAAAGATACGCCAAAAAATATCCATTTATTTTCGTTAGTTCAAGCATTCGTCTCGGAAAGCTTCGTAGTAAATAACACAGCTGTTTTTCTTGCTCCTGTATATAAGTTTATATGCAACACTGTTTTCTGCTATTATCCTCATCGTGATAAGCAACTCTCGATTAGTTTTGACCTTGGGCATGACTTAGAGGTAAATGATCAGCCCTTTGACCGTGCAAGCTGTCCGGATTTGCGGTAATTTCGGTAAAACACCGGGAAACTGGATATCGACATAAAGATATAGTTATTAACCTTTAATAAAGATGATTATGATCCAGTATCCTTGATGCACAGAACACGCTTTACTGACTTGTCGGAATCACTATATATAAAATGCTGATTCTCGCGCTAACCTACCAACACCTGACGTCTGTAGAAAGGGGATAGTGTGAAAACAACTATGGGTATAGGTAAGAGGGGGGGGGGGTGATCTCATACTATTAATGGAAGAATAAAGTTCAAAGAGGGCCGAGGTAAGGACTCTCTGAAGGCAAGGTGGGTATCGGATGAATATGAATGAATATTTGTGGGTAAGCTTACGACAGAAACATAGGAAAAGATATGAATATTCAAATTCAGATACAAATGGTTATTCGTAAAACCATAGAAAGCGGTAAAATTTTACACTTAGGCATAAATATTTAAATGTTTGCATCAAAGCATAAAATCACAGAAACACAAATACATGATGCTGGAATCCCCTAGGCATGATCATGCTAATCCCCAAGCAAGATCAGTTTGTGATAAGCGAAGTGTGGATAAAGATCTTAGATTTCACACATCATCAGAATCTACTTCAAATAGGACTGTTGGATTCTAAATTTGGAATGTAATATCACAAAATGACCATATAGCACATATAACTATGCCTTTCCATGCCCAAGCAGTATACCGGAATGGTAGTGCTATAGTGGTATAGCCTGAATTTTCATTGCAATACTATTATATAATGTGCATGCCTTATCTGTCAACCGGCACCGGGGTTTCCAAAACTGAATGTGTCCTCCAGGCAGTCGTAGGCCTTCCAACAATCACTCATAATGGTGGTGTTGATGCATTATTTTTCTCTTCTTATTCGTAAAAAAGGTCTCGATACATTTGGAAATGGCGCCTAACACCGATTTCGGGGATATTTTTTTTTTTCTGAAAGCTCTCGTCGCGTTTCTAACTCACCTAGCACTTATTTCCGTCGCAAACGAAGCGCATCTACAATATCGTTCGTTCTAGCCGTAATATTTTGCAGAAAAAAAAAAAAAAAAAAAAAAAACAGGTGAATCATTTTTCAGGACCCTATGCACAACCTAGTTATGATGGAGCTGATTTGAATTTTAACGGACTTCTCTTGGTCCAGCTGCTACTGTCTGTGTGATTATCTATTTTCTTCTTCTTGTCACTTGACTCATGGGATTACGCCACCCGCTATGATTCCGTTCGAGATTTACGTTGCTTGTTCGATTTCGCTGCAGTTTCTCTCGGTGCTGAAAGAGTCCGCATCTCGAAAGAATACCTGAAATGTATACCTGAAAGAATACCTGAAAATATTCTTTCATACCTGAAAAATTCTTTAATACCTAAAAGAATGGAGGTCCAGCTCCTTTCCGCTTCCCTTATCATTGGTTTGCAGGGAAATTGTATAGAAGGAAAGGTTCTTGGAGTGTGATGCTTTATCGGATGGTAAAGTCGTCGTTAGGTGTTTTTGTACTATGTTGTGTGTGTGTGTGTTTGTCTTTTTTTCTTTTTTTTTTTTTCAAAATGATGTAAATATCAGACGGAATTTCTAGGCAAGAACATGCTACTCCCTCGGATGTTTGGGGGTGGGGGGGAAAACCTACCCTAGATATCTGTAATGTTAGGATATCGGGAGAGCGCGTTTCCATCATCATCAGCATCAGCAGTATCACCACCATCATCACCATCATCATTTTCATCCTCTTTGAAGTGTGAGAGGAGACAGTTGTTGCATATATTTTTCTGGATATAATTTACTTCACAAGCGAAATTTTCTAGCATTGGAACCAATGGAACTTTGTCCCTATTTCTGTGTCCGTGAGAGAGAGCGGGAGTAAGATTTATACTTTCAGAGGCCTGTTTTTAATTAGACATATCCTAAAATGAGCTTGAATCTAATTTAGGATACTCTTGACCTTCATTATGGACACATAACATTTATGTAAGGCCAGATCTATTGCACTTAGAATTGGACTTATCTGTCACTTCAGAGCAGATTAACTCGGTAACTACGTCCTTTCGACTAACTTCATCACTTTCTCATCATTCATGGTTAACAAGGAATAGAAAGTCAGCCATAAAAAGGCTAACACAGGAACGGACACTGGCATAAACGTTTCACACATCTCATAGTCTCGCACCTCATGTACATCATTGCAAATACTCAGCTATTTACTGGTAGATAATGAAGCCCTTCCAGTCGTCTCCTAGGGCATTGGAGAAGGCAAGGAACGTCAGACTCTCAATTCGAATCTGTAAAGATGAGGGCATGATTATTGTCCCCAAAGACAAAGCCACCCTGAACTTCCTGCAGGAAATCAAGGTGCTACAAGACGGGAGAAAAGTGAGTATCTCACCACTAACCTCCCAAGAGAAAAAGACCAAGATGGTGCTACTTGGTTTTCCACTAGGGTTTGACGTGGTGATCACGTCTCTCCCACAAGTGGTGGAGGCTTCCCGCATGACCAGAGGGAAGTCTCCAACCAGGCAAGTCCTGGTCATCCTCAAGGGAGCCCCAATCACCACCCTTGATCTGGGTAACTGGGGCTCCTACAAGCTCAGGACATATGTGCCAGAGCCCCTGAGGTGCTTTACGTGCCAGAAATTTGGGCATCACCAGGCCAACTGCAAGGCCAAAGCCAAATGTGGTGTATGCAGCGACTCACATGAAACAGAAGTGTGTATCAAGGCACACAAAGATGGCCAGAAGGATACAACAGCCAAGTGTCCAAACTGTGCCAAGAAACATCATGCCTGGAGCCTGGCTTGCTCTGTCATGAAACAGGCAGTCATTAAAAAGCAGGAGCAAGCCAAAAAGCGTCCTGACATTGTCCCAGTGCCCCCAGGCACCTACGTCTGGGGACAAAATAAAAGAAAAGACTCCCCTCCCTAAATCCTCAGATGGCAGGCTAGCTTCGGGAGAAGCATTAAGTGAAACCCCAGCTAGTCTGTCAGGACAGGCTTAAACTGTGCAGCAGAAGCCCCCACTGCAGGCCGAGTCTGTGCAGCCAAAGTCTGATCCCTTGACCCGAGGTGCCACTTCCAACCAAGGCTCTACACCTTTCGGTAGACCCTTAACCGGTGTGTCTCACTTAGAGGAAGTTGTACAATCCTTAATCAACGAGGATCTATATTCATCAGATGCCACCAGCACTGGGGCATCTGAAGCTGAAGCAAGTGACTCTGTGTAACCATCATGACACACAATCTAAGCATTCTACAGTGGAATATCTGTAGCTATAAAAGCAAGAACTTTCTCCAGTCAATAGTGCGAGCAAGGAGCATTGACGTCGTCATGCTCCAGGAGACACTAACTATGGGATCTATGTGCTTCTCAGGATATCATGCCTTCACCTATCTAAACCTGGATGGAGCTAGAGGCCTGATGACCCTGGTAAAAGAAGCAATCCCCATGCTCCTTAATAGCCAACCCGCCGCACTGTGGAGACAGTGTTGAATCTCTTGCTGTTGAGATTCAGCTACCTGGGGGCCCTATAAAAATATATAATATATATATATAGCAAACCACTGTATGAGAGCTTAGATTTAAACCAGGTCTGTGCTACCACAGCACAAGACCGAGTAATCATAGGGGGAAACTTCAATGCACACATAGCCATGCTGAATCCCCGCAAAAGGCCGAACGCGACAGGCATTCACATAGCAGAAGTGCTTGAGACATTCCCTGAGATCGCTCTTCTCAACACCAAAGAACCAACGCATGTGAAGGGAGGGGTCCTAGACTTCACCTTTGCCACTGCAACAATGGTGGAGAGAATTCGGTGGTGTGTCGATGATACGGTTACTAGTGATCACTACGGCATAGTCACCACACTAATGGATGCAGGTCCAGCCCAAAGACCACATCACATTCCTAAATGGAAAACAGACAAGGCCAACTGGTTTGCCTTCCAGGAAGGCTTGGCTCGATGTCTGAAAGACAATGAACCCAACAATAATGAAAATGTGGATGTGCAAGAGGCAAGGCTAATCCAGGCCATAAACCAGGCAGCCTCACAAACCATCCCCAAAACTCGCCCATGGTCCAGAACTCACAAAGACGCCTGCTATTATAATGACGAGATCAAAGATGTCAACCACAGGGTTAATATGTGCAGAAAAAAATTCCGACTGCAAAGATCTCCCGACAATCTGGCCCTGTTGAGGGAAGCTGTCGTGGATGCCAAGGAAACTGCCAACAGAGTAAGGCAGGAAAAATGGCTAGAATGGTGCCAGACTTTTGGACACCAGACCAGCCTTACAGAGTTGTGGAAACGGGTCAGGCAAGTGACAAGCCGCCAAGCCCCGAAAAGCACTCATCATGATCCACAATCAGAGGCTAACAGATTGGTGCTTGAGTTCTCAGCCAGAAACCGGCACCAACAATCTGCCTCCAATGATGAGAGAAAAACAACAAAACAAATCCAGAAAGACTTGCTCTCTTAAGAGACAAGGCACTCGAAGCTGATGACATGGATGCCTTGTTCTCTCTTAGGAACTAAGAAATCATACAAAACCAGTTCTAGATCAGCACCGGGATCTGATGGGATCTTCCACCCCATCATTTCGCATTTAGTCCTTGCAAGAGAACTTGCATTCTTGCAGGTTATCAACAAATCCTGGCAAACCGCCACGGTGCCCCAGAGCTGGAAACAAGCCACAATAGTTCCCATCCCAAAACCAAAGGAGCCTGGCAAGTACCGTCCCATCTCTCTTCTCAGCTGCCTGGGTAAAACAGCTGAGAAGATGGTACTCAACAGGCTCCGATGGAAGACGGGTCCCCCTCATGAAAACCTGCACGGGTTCACAAGGGGTAAGAGCACTGCTCACAGCATTTCCGCTCTTAAGCACAATCTGCACCTCGCCCGCCGTGGTTGTCTTCCTAGACCTGGAGAAGGCTTTTGAATTGGCAAGCCCGCTTGCCATTCAAGAGACCCTAATCCATAAAGGAGTCAAAGGCAGACTCTCGGCCTGGATAGCTGACTATTTTAAAAATAGGTCAGCAAATGTCAGATTTCCAGGCCACCTCTCACAGCACATGCCACTTGAAAATGGAACTCCTCAGGGAGGGGTTCTTAGTCCAGCCCTGTTTAATAGCCTCAAGTTCAACATACTCGACAATCACCTGCCAGAGGGATGCAAGATCATCTCTTATGCAGATGACTTGGCAATCATAGCCTCTGGCAATCACTGCCTAGCTAGAGCTCAGCGTTGTCTGAACCTGGTGTCTGAAGAATGTTGTAGGACGGGCCTAAAAATATCGGCAGCAAAATCCAAAGCAATGGCTCTGAGAACTAATGTCAGAAACAAAAAACTCACTGTTCAGGGTATGGATCTGGAATGGGTGAAGGACTATCTATACCTTGGTGTATGGATAGGACACACTCACTTTCAAAAAGGAGATCCAATACCTGGTTGACAGAACCAAGGAAAGACTGTCAGTCTTGAAAGTCATGACAGGGAGACACATAGGAGCAGGACACAAAGTACTAAGATCATTCTATGTACATGCTGTCCGTCCTATTATTGACTATGCATCTGTCGCCCTCATTGCTTCCAGTGCAACATGAAAAGAAAATTTGGAAACAATACAAAACGAAGCAGCCAGGATAATTCTAGGTGCACCTGTGGACAAAGGTCATCAACCTCCTCATGGAAGCTGATTTACCAGAATTGATCTAATGGCAGCACAGTTCCTTTCCAAGGTCCTGCAGGCACCAAGAAACTCCTATCGAAGACAAAGAGTTCTCAGACGCCTACAACAAGATTACCAGCTGTTTGCGGACAATTCCTGGCTCACACATACAGCCAGAGTTTTGATACGCTTTCAGCTAAAAGAATCATTGCTTGCCAAGGGCATGGACTCCCCTCACCCTGATTACGAAGAACCCCTGCCGTGGGCAAACGAAATGATCGAATTCTCAATTCTAAATCTCACAATGAGAAAAAATCAATATTCCATGCCTAGCCTAAAGGCACAAGCACAAAGGGTCATTGTTCAAATAACTCCTCCGGGTAGCATAACATACTACACGGACGGATCTGTGGATCCCATAAACCATACTGCAGGCGCCGGCTTTGCAACAAAGGATACCACAGCATCCATTAGGGTCACTGACAATGCCTCAACGCTTCAAGTTGAAATGTTGCGATCATGGAAGCCCTGACACGCGTCCCTGAGGGGAGGACACGTCATTCACACAGATTCAAGAGCAACTATTGACAGCTTACAGCATAGCATGCCCCCTGACAACAGCTACCTCTTGACAACAGTGCTAACCATAGCTCAAAGAATCCTCAGTCAAGGTAAAAGAATTACCATTAACTGGGTCCGAAGTCACATAGGCATACAAGGGAACGAGCTTGCTGATAAGCTAGCTAAAAAGGACAGGGGTATGTCCCCATCCTCTATGATCGTTAAACCCAGCCGAAGGGGACTAAGCCAAAGTACCAAAGCTGCAGCGTGTGCGGTCCTCCGGGGAGAACATAGAGAAAATATCCCAAAATCGCTCGCTGCCAAGTGGTACTCAGATGCTTCAGGCTATGAGCCTGAAGCACCGAAGTCATATTATTCAGAGTAAGACTAGGTTACCAATGAGACTGCGAGGTTATGCAAACACTGCGGCGAGCCTAACGCCACCCTGTTACATTACTTGCAGAATTGTGTACAGACACAATTTCTGAGGCAGGGACCACCCACCACAGCCGCCGGGCTGGTAAAATGGGTCTGCAACATGCTTACCCCGTGGCAGCTGGATCGCTTGCTCGCAATTCAGCCACCGCGATAAGTATGCAGTTCAAAGAAAACATCTGAGTTAACTAGAAATAGTTAACACAGGCGGGGCCACTCCAGGGAAAAGGACTTCGTAAATCTAACTGAACTGAACTGATCATCACCAGCCGTTCCTTGGGTATTATTTAAGAGCATGGTGTCACATCAGAGTTGTCAAAGAGTTCATATCACCAAGGTGCAAAGATCCGAGAGAGAAATGGAGGGAGAGAGAGCTGCACACATATCCTAAATAATTCCTCAGGAACGTAAAGCAAACTATCATGATCAAGGCTCGTTACAGAAGAGGGTAAAGTCGAATAGAATACGTCGTTTTACAAAGTACATTTTATTGTCATAGAAATATTTACACAAGGAAAACGTACATCTTGTAAACAAAACGGAAAAAAATACAACAATTAAAATTATGAAATCTCGATAAATGTAGAGAATGAAAGCATCAACGAGGAAACTCACTCCCTCTTCCTTTTGCCTGTGCTCCCGGACCCGAAGACCCGCGAGCAGACGGCTCCCACGAGGCGGCGGAGCACGTACACCGCCACGACCACGGCCACGTGCAGCGCCAGCAGCACGTCCAGCATGAGGAACTCGACCCACGACAGCGTCGCCGCCGGAGACCGCAGCCGGGGGGCGCCCTTGTGCCGGATCACGTACTCGGTCCAGAACACCGCGCGATCCTTCGGGCTCTCGAGCTGGTCGCGGAGGGGAGCCCGCACCTCTGCGGCCCTGGCTTTGTACCTGCGGTTGAGGGCTCGCTGTCAGTGAGACTCTGAGGCCTCAAGGAATGTGCAGAAAGCATGTCTGTATGTGAGAGTCAGATAATTCAGTATTAATGAATAAAAAGCTTCAAAAGTCCTGTACATTCAAGCTGAAAACCCTTACTTGGGATTCGAGATAATTTCCTGGAGACTGTTGACGATGAGCTCGACCGTCAACTCCTCCCACACAAGCATCAGCCCGAGGCCGTTGTTCTGTATGTTCATGCCATTCTTGGGCTGATCCCCAAAGATGGGGATTGCGAGGACTGGCGTGGAGTGGTAGAAGGACTCCTGAGTGCTGAGGAGTCCTCCATGGGTGATGAAGACCCGGACGTTTGGATGAGCTGAAACACCAATGGTAAAACGCATGAGCAATCCTCTTCTAGGATTCTGCAATGTGATTAGTTATCTATACATCAACCCTCACTTTGTTTCCTTTTGGAGTTTATAACAAATTTCATTTCGGTGCCATTGTTTTCTCTGTCCTTTTATTATGATCATCATTATTGGTAATACTAATAGTATCATTGTCACTGGTTATCTGAAATGCAAAACTGTTTTGCACTTCAGAACTGGCCAAGTTCAACTCACCGAGAATATCCTGCTGCGGCAGCCACTTCCGCATCAGCACGTTGTCAGAGACGCCCTCCAGCGCCACCTCGTACTTCCAGATGACTCGCTGTTTGAGCTGCTTGAAGGCCTCCACGAACATATCTCGGTACTTCGTGGGCATCGACTGACCCTGAGCCACGGAGCCGAGACTGAAGTACACGACGCCCTCTGATCCTGCGCCGCTGATCCACAACTCTAAATCCTGTAGGATACGTGTCTACTGACAAACGACCACTTACAAATCCAAATAAATCCAGATCAGTATCGGCTTTCATCAATATTCCATTTAAGTTCTGTGTTCATCCATAATACCTTGGAGTTGTGGTTTTCCATCTAGCATAGAACAGGATTTCTTTCAGAAATACGAATCTCACCTCAGGCAGGGGCTTGCCAGGACGGCAGTGCATGGCACCCACTTCCACCTGGGACGGCAGCAAAGGCAGAACATCGTTCATTGTGAAGTGGGAGTTCATCAAGGTAAGGCTCTGGTTGCGCTCAATGTCCAGCAGTAACGGGAGGTCCGGGAACTGGGCCGAGATCTGGAGAGACACAGATGTGAACCAGTTTCATATGCTGAATGAACCCTACTAGAACTTGTTTTCTTACCCTCTTGGAACAGAATTATTGAGGTAGTAGACATTAATTACTGATGGATTTAAAGTAATCAAGCGAACAATAAATCCATTATATGATACAATGGAAAAGAGAGATATTATCTTAGTTCCATATATACTTCCTGCCATTACTAGATCTGGAACCCAAGGCAATGAACAACAACACTACTTATAGTAGGCTTAATAAGCACCATAATAGTATCTTTGAGTCTTCTGGATTACTTTGAAATCAGAAGAAGGCACGTAGACATATCAAAATGCAAGCAATGCTGAAAGACCTAGTTTCCCTTCCTCGTCAGGATACTCACCTCCTTCTGTACAGGCGGAACAATGCTCCAATGTCGCCAGTTTACGGCAAACATGATGTGTTGTATCGTATTTATGAAGCGGTGTAGCATGCTCATAGGTGCTGGGAAAGACTGCATGATGTTAGCAGCGTAAGAAGGATTCAAGACGTTGCCGAGGACAGCGCTCTGGCGGTAGTCCATACCTGGCGTTGCTATGGTGATGAAGGGCATCTCGTGGGCGAACGGGTACGCAACCTGAGCGAAAGGTCAAAAGCGGTTTTCATTAATACCAATACATTATTAGGTAATTTTCTATATTACCTCCGCCTCTCCGATATCGATGATTTTGGTATCGTTGGATTCCTCTCACTCTATACAATGCAAATATGTAGTTTTTATTGCGCGGAAACCCCCCGTTAGCGACAAACTTGGCCCCGATAGCAGGGGAGGGCATGGAAGGTTCCAGGGAAAATGCGGGGTTGAATAACACTAATAATATAACCCACAGTGAAAATAACCATGGTTATTCAAATGACTTTCCATTGCAGGGAGCTGTGACCCCTGCGACCCCCCCTGGGGGGGCTCCCACCCCCAACCCCCGCTGTGGACACAAAATCACCACATATTCCCGGCAGGCTAGAGCGTTACACAGTTATCGGCGATCTGGGAGCTGCGGACGTACTACATTTACCTTGTAACATTCCTACTGAATCAGCATACTAACCTTGATATAGTCAACATTGTATACAGATACGATTGTAGTATTATCAAGATGAACAAGGTATACCATGAAAAGAAGAGCGGCGGTGACCCGCCCTCGTCGGGTCAGCGGGTTTTGCGCCTTTTTCGATGCATCTCGTTCATGTGCGCTCTATCCTGCCGTGAATACGAGGGGGATATTTTGTGTCCTCGGCGGGGTTGGGTTGGGTTGGGGCCCCCCTCAGGGGCACTCGTAGGGGGCACAGCCCCCTGCAATGGAAAGTTATGTTAATAACCATGGTTATTTTCACTGTGGGTTATATTAGTGTTATTCAACCCCGGATTTTCCCTGGAACCTTTCATGCCCTCCCCTGCTATCGGGGCCAAGTTTGTCGCTAACGGGGGGTTTCCGCGCAATAATACCTACATATTTGCATTGTATAGAGGGAAAGGAATCCAACGATACCAAAATCGTCGATATCGGAGAGGCGGAGGTAATATAGAAAATTACCCATTATTTCATTTTAAATTTCCGGCATCCATTGATGCATTTACGATTACATCAAAAAATTTACATATATTACAAGAGCTCCCTTATTCAAAAGTGCTACTGCAGCAATGATAGCCCTTTGGCCAGTAGGGCTTTTTCTGTTTAAATTCATATCTACAACTTGACTCACTATTTCGTTGACCAAATATTTTACCAGTATTTCTCTTGGAAATCGTAGGTATGTCATTAGTACTTACTATTTTTTGTTTTTTTTTTCATCTCCCCGTTATTTTAATGGTAGAATTTCAAATAGTTTTATCGATTTTCATTCTTCACTCCTAAACTTTACATTTCTGAATCTTTATGTGCCAGGTGTAATAATCATGAAACAGGCGAGCATTGAGCATTTGAAAAAATAACTTTACATCTATATTCTCTAAGAATTTAACAAATCATGATGTAAGAGTGAAGAACATAAATCTGGCAATATATTCTTGACGATATGATTTCCTTTTCAATTAACAAACAAACAAATTGTTGGACGTATCAAGCGAGCACTAATTATCTAAAGAACATACACATACACCCGGGCGCGCGCGAGTAAATAACTTGATTATCAATCAAGATTTTAATCAGGTTTATCAAGTGAATGATATACTCGTACAGTTTATGACTTTCATTCTTTTTAGAACTTTTTTTCCCAATCATGCACAACAAACGTCGTTCATTCATATAGAGTATACTGTTATGGTGTTGCCATTTAATGGGTTCGCTTATCCGAAGAGGTACAGAAACGCCTTTCTGAAGCTAAACCATTATCTCAGCAACAGCATCGTCCACGCAACCCACTTTAAGCGTAAAGAAAGCATTCGTTTGCCGTATTTTTTGTAATAGTATTTGCTTTCCTGTGGTGAAGCAAGGATCGTTCTATTACCATATGAATGTTATGGTGACCTTCTTTAAAACTGAACTATATGCATTATATTCCAGGTCCTTTGTAAGAGCTTAAGCGAGAAGTCCATCCTGGCATTGATTCGCGGATCAACATAGGTTTGACACTGATATACTATAAAATCTATGTAATGCCTGACATTTTTTTTTTTGCAAGTGGGAATTCCTTAAAAAAAACATTTAGGCATTCACATTTATAAAATCACTACATCACAGAGAACAATATTAATGTGTCCTCATCGTGATTAGCTGATGTCGCGCGATCACAAACTGCTCCCTCAAGAGCACGTCCTGTGGCCTCGGTAAGCATTAGCATCCTAGAACAATCATTTGAATGAGGCAGTGTTGTCACATTGCACTCATTCAGAGCTGCCACACTGTATTGTTGACGACCTGCATTCCTTAACAGGAATCCTAACATGTCCAGTCAGAGAGGGGATTCACCGCTTGCTGTGGCGTAAGTAGCAACCGGGAAATTGTTAGCCAAGGTTAAAGATTGACCTTGTTGAACGCAGCCCCACGTCACCTGCCTCATGGTATATGCTCAGGCTGCGCTTCGTGACCATGCGTCTGTAAATGAGAGCTTACATTCCATAACGAAAGACTATGTTCGAATTGGTCCTTCCTTTCATGATAAATTATCATGATTTTGAACTGGTAAATTTTATTACAGATGCATAGAGAGAAATGATCAAATATCCAAAACCCAACTTGGTTTCAGAAGTAAGCTGTCTACTGAAACAGCATTATTACAGATCGCAAATAAAATCTATAAGATAGAAAATCAAATAACCTTGCTTACATTATGTGCTTTATACAAGGCTTTTGGTAGTGTCAACCACGAAATCTTTATTAGTAAAGCAATAAATCACATTTTTGCATATTGGTTCACAAGTACAGAACCTAATAAGTCAAAATCCCGACAATATATCAACAAATCAGATGGTATCCTTCGGTGTTCCACAAGGATTAATATTAGGCCCAATCTTATTCACAATATTCGTAAGTGATTTGTCAACCATAGCCCAAAACTGCCGTCTTATTGAATACGCCGATGATTCTCAATTTCTCCAGTTGTTCTCTAAACAACTTAGATATATTAACAAAAAGACTCGAGACGTTGGCACGAGTAAAAGGATACTTTGACACAATTTTTTTTATACGAAAAAATGATGACAATATTTAATATCTACCAATTTAAACAATTTCATAGTACATCAACCAAATGTGTAACTACGATGAAACCCCACTAAAAAACTAAACTTTACGAAATGGAAATCCAAAAATCAAGCCACTTACCTCATTAAACATATGGTTGATAACAATGAGATCAAACTCCTTTCTTTTGTCGTAGAGTTCTTTGACCTTCGGAACCTTGTACAGCTTGCTGGCGATGGCGGGAAGAGCCTTCTGGAACACTCCGAACGCAGCCGCTGGGTTCCCGCGTGTCTCGAACATGTTCAGGTTTTCTTCCCTGAAGTCGGGCAGTCCATGGTTGATCTCCAAGACGTTCGGGTGCTTTAACGCCGGTGGGTGGTTGACCAGCATCACAATCTGGCGTCGTCGATCAAGTCATTGGCATTGAATAAATCAGCGACGGATGTTCTGGATTTTGTAATAATTCATTAACAAGCTTCTGTTTTTAGCAACAATTAAGATAACAATATTAACTTATTTATTCTGTACACTTCCAAACTG